TTAAATTTTTGTGGGTACATAGTAGGTATATATATTTATGGGGTATTTGAGATATTTTGATACAGGCATATTGTAAATAATAATCACATCAGGGTAATTGGGCTATCCATCACCTCAAGCACATATCCTCTGTGTTACACACAATCCAATGATGCTTTTTTAGTTATTTAAAAAATATTTTTTAGCAATTTAAAAATTTTTTTGTGGATACATAGTAGGTAGGTGTATATATTTATAGAGTACATGAAATGTTATGTTTTGTCCAAGTGCTGTGGCTCATGCCTGTAATCCCAGCACTTTGAAAGGCCGAGCTGGGTGTATCACCTGAGGTCAGGAGTTTGAGACCAGCCTGGCCAATGTGGTGAAACCCTGGCTCTACTAAAAATATAAAAATTAGCCTGGCATGGTGGTGGGTCCCTGTAATCCCAGCTGTTGGGGAGGTTGAGGCAGGAGAATCACTTGAACCGGGAGGTAGACGTTGTAATGAGCCAAGATCACACCACTGCATTCCAGCATGGGTGACAGAGCAAGACTCTGTCTCAAAAGATAAGAAATGTTTTAATACAGGCATACAATGTCAAATAAGTGCATAGTGAGGAGTGGGGTACCGATCTCCTGAAGAATTTATCCTTTGAGTTATAAACAATTCAGTTGTTTTTTTTTTTTGAGACAGAGTGTCACTCTTGTTGCCCAGGCTGTAGTGCAGTGGCATGATCTTAGCTCACTGCAACCTCTGCCTCTAGGGTTAAAGTGATTCTCCTGCCTCAGCCTCCCCAGTAGCTGGGAGTACAGGCATGTGCCACTACGCCCAGCGAATTTTTTGCATTTTTAGTAGAGACAGGGTTTCACCATGTTGGCCAGGCTGGTCTCGAACTGCTGATCTCAGGTGATCCACCTGCCTCGGCCTCCCAAAGTGCTGGGATTATAGGTATGAGCTACCACATGTGGCCCCAATTATATTCTTTAAGTTATTTTAAAATATATGATTAAGTTATTATTGGCTATAGTCACCCTGTTGTGCTATCAAATAGTAGGTCTTATTCATTCTATTTGTTTAAAAATGTAAAATTAAATTATTGTTGACTGCAGTCACCCTGTTGTGCTATCAAATACCAGATCTTATCCATTCTTTCTATTTCTTGTACCCATTAGCCATCCCTACTCCCACCTCCTCCCTCCACTACCCTTTCCAGCTTCTGGTAAACATCCTTCTATTCTCCATCTCCATGAGTTCATTGTTTTATTTGTTTATTTAATTTTAATTTTAATTTGTTTTGAGATAGAGTCTCACTCTGTTGTCCAGCCTAGAATGTAGTGTCATGATCTCAGCTCACTGCAACTTGCACCTTCTGAGTTCAAGAGTTTCTCCTACCTTAATCTCCTGAGTAGCTGGAATTATAGGGATGCGCCACCATGCCTGACTAATTTTTGTATTTTTAGTAGAAACAGAGTTTCACCAAGTTTACCGGGCTGGTCTTGAACTCCTGACCTCAAGTGATCCACCTACCTCTGCCTCCCAAAGTGCTGGGATTACAGGCGTGAGCCACCGCGCTTGGCCGTTTATTGCTTTAGGTTTTAGATCCCACAAATAAGTGAGAAAATGCAAAGTTTGTCTTTTGTAAGTGACTTATTTCACTAAACATAATAACCTCCAGTTCAACCCATGTTGTTGCAAGTGAAGGATATTATTCTTTCTTTTTATTGTGTATATGTACCACATTTTCTTTATCCCTTCATCTGTTGATGGGTCCTTAGGTTGCTTCCATGTCTTGGCTATTGTGAATAATGCCACAATAAACATGGCAGTGCAGATATCTCTTTGATGTATTTCCTTTCTTTTGGGTATATACCTAGCAGTGGGATTGCTAGATCGCATGGTAGCCCTACTTGTAGCTTTTTCAGGAACCTCCAAACTGTTCTCCATAGTGGTTGTATTAATTTACATTCCCACCAATAGTGTATGAGGGTTCTGTTTTATCTTTGTCCTTGCCATCATTTGCTGTTACCTGTCTTTTGGGTAAAAGCCCCCCCCCTTTTTTTTTTTAATAGAAACTCTGGTTTTATTTTCAGCTTTACATTTTTGACAAGTGCAAAGTGAGCCAGCGTTATAAATATTCCAATAATGACTGAAGTGATAACTTCTACTGGCATGCCTTCTTCTGAGTCTCCATTTCCTCCACTGATATTCATCCAAATAATAAAAGTAACACAATTGCAATTGAGTTTACTATTATCAATGGCACTCCCATCACAGTTCTTACAGATCGAATAAGGTTCATTAGCTGCGATTTAATTCCTCCTCTCTGAATCCACCAATTCCCTGGTCTATTCCCCAGCCAATGTTCTTGAGGAATCGCTCCTCATGTAGCATGGCGATGGCATTAACGCAGAGCAGGGCTGCCTGCAGCGGTGAGTACAGGGTAAAGGCTGTGGCCATCTGGAGCCGCCCCGAAGTCCAAGTGATTTTTCTCTAGCCGCCGCAAGGGACCTCAAAAGCTTTTTTTTTTTTTTAAACATGGGGAAGATGATGTCTCATTGTAGTTTGATTTTCATTTTTGTGTTGATCATTGATGTTGAACATCTTTTCATATACTTGTTTGTGATTCGTATGTCTTTTGAGGAAATCTATTCATACCTTTTGCTCATTTTTAAATAGAATTATTAGATTTTTTCCTTTTGAGTTGTTTGAGCTCTTTATATTTTCTAGTTATTAATCCCTTGTTAGATTGACAGCTTACAAATATTTTCTCCCAATGTGTGGGTTATCTGTGTTGATTGTTTCCTTTGCTGTTCAAAAGCTTTTTTAACTTGATGTGATCCCATTTGTCTATTTTTGCTTTGGTTGTCTCTGCTTGTAGGGTAATACTCAAGAAATCTTTGCCCAGTTCAATGTCCAGGAGTTTCCTGCAGTGTTTTCATGTAGTAGTTTCGTAGTTTTAGGTCTTAGATTTAAGTTTTTAATCCATTTTGATTTTATATGTGTATGGTGAGAAATATGGGTCTATTTTTATTCTTCTGCATATATATCCAGTTTTCCCAGCACTATTTATTGAAGAGACTGTGTTTTCCCCATTATATTTTCTTGACATCTTTGTTGAAAGTGAGTTCGCTGTAGGTATGTAGATTTGTGTCTGGGTTCTCTATTCTGTTCCATTGGTCTGTGTGTCTGTTTTTTATGCCAATACCATGCTGTTTCAGTTACTATTTGAAGTCAGGTAATGTGATTCCTCCAGTTTTTTTCTTTATGCTCGGGATAGCTTTGGTTATTCTGGGTCTTTTGTGGCTCTATATACATTTTAGGACTTTTTTTTCTATTTCTGTAAACAATGTCGTTGGTATTTTGATAGGGATTGCATTCAATCTATAGATTGTATATAGTATTATGGCTATTTTAACAATATTGACTCTACCAATCCATAAACATGGAATATCTTTCCGTTTTCTTGTGTCCTCTTCAGTTTCTTTTTATCAGTGTTTTATAGTTTGCATTGTAAAGATCTTTCCCTTCTTAGGTTAATTGCTAATTATTTGATTTTATTTGTAGCTATTGTAAGTGGGATTACTTTGTAAATTTCTTTTTCAGATTCTTCACAGTTGGCATGTAGAAATGCTTCTGATTGTTGTATGTTGATTTTGTATCCTGCAACCCTACTAAATTTGTTTATGAGTTCTGGTAGTTTTTTGGTAGAGTCTTTAGGTTTTTCTGAATATCAGATTATATGATCTGCAAACAAGGATCGTTTGACTTTTTCTTTTCCAATTTGATTGCTCTGGCTAGGACTTCCAGTACTTTATTGAATGACAGTGATAAAAGTAGCCATCCTTGTCTTGTTCCAAATATTAGCAGAAAGGCTTTCTGTTTTTTCCCATTCAGTAAAATACTAGCTGTGGGTCTGTTGTACATGGCTTTCCTTATGTGGAGGTATGTTCCTCCTATACTCAGTTTTTTAAGAGTTTTCATCATGAAGTAAGGTTGAATTTTTATCAAATATATTTCCAACATCAGTTGAAATGATTATATGGTTTTTATTCATTATTCTCTTGATATTATGTGTCATATTGATTTGTGTACTTTGTTGAACTATCCTTGCTTACCTGGGATAAATTCCACTTGGTCATTCTAAAGATTTTTGTAATGTGTTGTTGGATTTGGTTTACTAGTATTTGTTGAGAATTTTTGTGTCATTGCTCACCTGGGATATTGGCCTGTAGTTTAGTTTTCTTTTCTCTTTTCTTTTCCTTTCTTTTTCTCTTTCTCTCTGTCTCTTTCTTTCTTGCTTTCTCTTTCTTTTTGATGTGTATATCTGGTTTTGCTATCAGTAATACTAGCCTTGTGGAATGTGGTTGAATGTATTCCTTCCTCCTCTACTTTTTTCAATAGTTGGAGTATGATTGCTATTAGTTCTTCTTTAGATATTGGGTAAAACATCTAAGATTAAGCGGTGAAGCTTTTAGTCCTGGGCTTTTCTTTTTGAGACTTTTTATTACAGCTTCAGTTTCATTACTTGTTACTGGTAAGTTCAGGTTTAGGATTTTTTCATGGTTCGTTTTACATATATTCTATGACTGCTTTGACATTCCAAGAGTAGAGTTGAGTAATTGCAGTAGACAGTAGAGCTTTTACATTCTGCAAGGGCATATGGCCTCTAATAGAAAAAGTTTGCCAGCCACTGCAGATACATGAGTTGTTGTTATCAGTTATGTGTGTGTGTTTGGGGGCAAAGGGCATTGAGTGTTTTAAGATCTTCTTTCTTTGCATCTCACCTCTCTTCAGGGCCCTGCATCCCTGACTATTGAAGTAACATTCTACCTAATGGAGTTTTGATCAACTGTCAATGTGAAACTCACCTATAGAATATTTTTTTAAATTTATAACCCCATCTTAGATACATTTGGTAATGAGGCAATCACTTACATTCATATTTGGTGATGTGTGATAACTCTTAGATAAATCCAAGTAGTTTGAGAAATTTTTGTATCTTTTCTTATTTCATTTCTAGGTACAAGACATCTGCTTCAGCCATGACTGTCGCTGGGTTGTGGTCAGTACTCTCCGCGGTACTTCCCACGTTTTCCCCATCAACCCTTATGGTGGCCAGCCTTGTGTTCGTACACATATGTCACCACGAGTAGTGAATCGTATGAGCCGTTTCCAGAAAAGCGCTGGACTGGAAGAGATTGAACAAGAACTGACGTCTAAGCAAGGAGGTCGCTGTAGCCCTGTTCCAGGTCTATCAAGCAGCCCTTCTGGGTCACCCTTGCATGGTAATTTTCTGTCTCCACTGTTCTCTTGAATCTTCCTTTTGTTCTTATTTTTATAGTTCTAGGATAAAACTAAACTTTTTATAGTCTCTTCCTGTAAAAAGAAGATCTTAGGCTTATATGAAATTATTAAATTTTAGTTTAATAATTTAATTATTAAATCATTTAATGAATTGGAGCCAGTATAGTAATGGTGATCTTTACCATGCTATTTTAACTCCCTGTTTCAATATATAATGAATATTTGGTATCATATTTTTGGAATGTAAAACTTGGAACTATTGTTATAACTTCGGAGAACTAAACCTTTTTTTAACATACCTATTCCAGAACATTCTATGTTCAACTGGACACTATAGTTTATTAAGAAATATTCATTGTTGGAAAGAAATGGTCATCGGTAATGTGTATTTTAGATAGAACAGCATTTGCCTTTTATTTTAAAATGGGATTGGTAGGATTTCTACTAGTATGTCACAGGAAAAACAAACAAAAATAGAGCAAATAGCTTTGTAATCATCATCCCAATCAATAAATGGAACATTACTGGAATCTCTCTTTTATGTACCTTCTCCGTAACATTAAACCACAAATCTCACTTTTATGGTAACCACCTCTTTCGTTTTTTTTTTTTTTTTTTTTGAGA